AGTGAAGCATGAGTGCCAGCGCTGATGTTGCTGTCTTTGATGATGATGATGATTCATTGACCACGTCACATTCAAAGGTTACCGGAACTAACGTCCATATCTTTTATATCGTTCTTCCTGAGCGCTGCTGCAGAATTCTTGGTTCACTTGCTTGTGGCAAACTGATCACCAAGTAAAGCACCCTTCCAAACTGCACGTAAATTTTTTCTTGCTGTATGCATGTGTCTTTTTTGCCTCACAGGATGATTATCGTGTGTGCACAGCTCATGGAATTATATGGAAAGACGCCTCCATCGTGTGCCCAGTCGACGCGACAGGTTGTTTCACAGCTGAGATCAGTGACTTCGCTGGCATGTACGTAAAAGAAGCTGACAAACTAATTTGTCAGAATCTGAAGAAACGCGGCCGAATGGTACATCAGAGCACAGTGAACCACAGTTATCCGTTCTGTTGGAGGTGAGTTGATTTCTTATGTAGGTCCGGCTATAAGACTGAATTGGCATCGAGTCACTTCATATCTGGGGATAGGTGCAACGGACTTGGTTCGTTACTTGCATATCTAGAAGAACTGGGTAACGTGTACTGCCATCCTTCACTGGTGGTTCTGATCCAATTCAGCAAATCAAATGATTGAACAGAGGTAAAGGATCCGTGTGGTGTAATTAAACTGATATTCTAACTGGTCGCCTGACCATTCTCACAATGTGCGCTACCATTTTTCCATTATGACGTTTTCGTACTCTACCTGTGTTTGTGAACCACTTCTGATAAAAGTTGCCCAGCTTGGTTATGTTTTCCACCAAGTCATTCGGATAAACCAAGTCCAAAATTAGCGAATATACACTCGTTTGCAAACTGATTTGTTTTTTTGTGAGACTCACCTGGAACCCAGCTGAACCCAGCCTGAAAACATCACAAACGAGAGATTCAGCTGGGTTCCAGGTGAGTCTCTCGAAAAACCAGATTAGTTTGCAAATGAGTGTATATTCGCTAATTTCGTGCAATTTGGTTTCAAGTAGAACATAAGGTTGACGGACACCCGGGGACTGCGCCTACCTGATGAGCCCCAGAAAGGGCGAAACCGGTCGTGGTCTGTCGACGGATTTTCAGCAACCTTGCGAGTAGTACATTACAAGTCCAAAATTGTGTTGACTCTCGGTACGTAGCCACCAGTTGATGTCAGTGGCATTCTTCCTATCACTTTCCATCCAGATTGTCCGGTTCCGGAGGTACATGTATTTCTCTGGACTCAGTTTTCTTATATTTTGTTTTTCCTGCTACGGGACTGTAAGCGGCTGTACGACAGCTAAGCATCAGTCTTACCACAATATTGTGCCTGTCTATCACGTTGAGTTTAGGTTCACATCACTGGTCCCCTTCCTATCCTGGTGCACTTATTTTTGTGAGAGGGAACACTGGACTCGAGACTCACTCTCATCACAGCTCATCGGTAGCTCATATTCTTGGTCACGTCGGCATTCGAGCTCCGGACATCTGACGTCCAAGGCGAGCACGTTATCCCTACGCCACCCGCGCACGCTGGATCCATCGCAATTATGTCCGAAGAGGTGTGCGCGAGTAGTGTGATTGGCTTGGGAGGAGAGGACTGTTCAAAGATGAGTGATGTGTATCCCGCAGTCACATTCAACTAATCGATGAAGGTGGTGGTGAGGATGATTGTCAGGTCGGAAGTTCATGTCTTGGTCGCACACCTGGTGTAAAAAGAGGTTAGGTATCTGTAATGCACTACTCATAAGGTTGCTGAAAATTCATCGACAGCCGACGACCGGTTTCGCTTTTCTTAGGGCTCATCAGGTAAGTGCAGTCCCCGAGTTTCCGTCAACCTTATGTTCTCTTCATTTACTTGAAGCAAATACAACTTAGCGGTCGACTTAATCGATACTCCTCCTCAGATTATCGTTTCCATTCTCTTATACATTTCAGTCATATATTCCCGGTTAGCAATAGCTGAGTTTTCGTTTGCTTCCGGAAATATTAACCGGGCGTTTTGTCTGTAGTTTCCCGTCATTTCCCAACGCTGTTCTTTCACTTCTCAGGTCCGACACACCTCTGATCTACAAGGCTGTACCCACATGGTTCATTCGTGTCGAGTGTCTAATAGACAAACTTTTGGAAAACAATGACAAATGTCATTGGTAAGTCGCGTCCGCTTATTTTCATTCGAAAATGTGTGATCAATGGATTGTGCCTATTTTTATTGTTCGCGCAAATCCATCGTCGGATACTCTGTAGATGATGACAACAGAATAAAAACGACACGAACACTTCGAGACAGTCAGAGCAGAGCATGAGGAGACTCCGGTTTTAGAGAGTCTAGATGGTCAGAAAGGGGTAACCGTCTTGGACAGTTAGAGTTTGTAGGACCTCGGGTAAGGACGAGTGCTGCTACGTTGTCTGCTGGCTTTCGGGAACCATGACTACTGCCACCAGGAAGGCACTCAAATTGGTTTACCACCTAAAACTCAAAACGACCCGCATTATAGTTTTTAGACTGGATTTCCAGTACGCTGTGCGAAATTCATTTGAGGTTTTTCCCGCCCTTTTTCGATGTTGACGAAATCTCTCTCCGCCCAGGCGGTTCTTTTACTTGTTGAATAGGTCTGGGATAACCTTTCTTTTTTCATCTCTGGCTGTTTTCCGCTGTAGGGTGCCAAACTTTGTGCGTGAGGGTCGTTTCGCCAATTGGCTACGCGATGCGAGAGACTGGGCGGTATCACGAAATCGTTTCTGGGGCACGCCAGTCCCGCTCTGGGTGAGCGAAGATTTGGAGGAAGTTGTTTGCATTGGCTCCATTGATGAGTTGGCTAAATTGTCCGGTGTTACGGTGACCGATCTGCACCGGGAAAAGTGAGTTTTTTTGTCACAGCTATTTAATCTGACTTGTTGCTCATCCATCGTAATTGCACATTTCTGACCGTGTTTTTTCAGCATCGATCACCTAACCATTCCTTCCCGTACGGGACGTGGTGTACTGCGCCGCGTTTCTGAAGTGTTCGACTGTTGGTTCGAATCTGGATCGATGCCTTATGCCCAAGTAAGTCCGTTGATGCAATCACCCTGAGTGTCGCTGCGACAACTGAAATTTGGCAGTGCATAAATTGAATGCATATTGAAGATTTAGTTGTAAAACCTGACCGCCAAGTCACTCTCGTTTCGGTGGAAGTTTCGATCCCGTGACAGGAAAAATTGCCAATTCGGAACACCGGATTTTTATCTAGTCGTGAAATGTCAAAGAGAAAAACCAGTTTTCCTTAAATTTATTTACCAAACTCGATAGTTCCACAAAGTTCATCCATTCATGTTTGTCCCACTCTAACATCTTTTCGGTGCCTTGCTGCCATGTCATCTGAGGAAAGCGCGAGTGCTGAGTTACTGTCTGGCAGCAGTTGAAATGCAGAGGTTTCTATCGAACTACAAACTTTCTGGTCGTCCTAATCCTTAAGCCTTCTCGAGGTCAACGTGAGCATTAACACTGAGTGTTCGCGTTGTCTGTATGGCTCTTCCTCGGGGGTCAGTTTAGTGGAGTACGGTCTCGTTTCATCGGACAATGATCATGGACTGCAAACACGCTAGGTGAAGTGCAACTATTAAGTTTATAAATCCAAGCACAGAATTGTATGGTGTGACGTTTTCAGTCGCAACGTTTGGCCTACCGTGAGCCACCCTTACCAAATCGCTCAGCGGCCAGGTGGATATGGTGCTTCCCTTTCAGTTAGAAACAAAATCCAGAAACAACGAGTGCATTTATTCACTCGAGGTATCTTTCGTTTGTAGGTCCGGGCCAAAATGTAACTGGGACCTGTAAGGTCACGACCGTTGAGTCCAGCAATTATCAGTATGCCAAGGCAGTGATAAAAACTATACAAGAATATGCAGATCTAGAAGACCAATGAAGGATCTTTAGTTCTTGGTGGAGGTATTTCCTCTTTTTCTGTTCTTAGTTCGTGTACTTGCTCTCAACTGTGCGCCAGTGGATGATAATTGGCGTGGCGTGATTTTAATTAGACAAGGCCTGGGAAAGGTTAGATTACGGTGTCGTTGTACAGTGTGATTTTTTCCTCCAGTATGTGTGTGTTGTTGGCCATTTCGCTCACAGTGTGATCCGGTTAATCTGGACGACGACCTTGCGCTCATCTACTGAGAAGGCTGATGTTGTCTGGATACCAAAAGGATTGTAGTGTTGATGTCGTAGGAAAGGCGAAGGTGTTTGACAGATGACATGCCTGGGGAGTCACTCGCATGTCTGGCCTACCGAGCGGGTGTTTTGTGCACCTCGAACGATCTCAGTTCGGAAATTCTCGTGCTCTAAACTGTGCTCCCCTGTCTAGGCTTGGGCAACCTGGCAGTATCCCAGCCCTCGTGCAGCCTTCGGGTGGCATGGCAGTTAGGCACCGAAAGGGTGCTACAGCTGAACGATTATTATATTATTAAACTGTGCGCCATGCTTGACATGTGAGTCCGTCGTCTCTCCGTGTCTCTGTTACACTGAGGTGTACAGAATTGATCGTTGAAGGCAGGCAGGAGGAACGTGCACCACATTGGTGTAGGCCATGTTGAACAAATGGCGTTCAAACACAAAATACCTACTAACCATCGTGTGTTATTTTGGATGAGCGGAAGTTGGCCCGTTTAGACCTATTCGGCAAGCAGTGAGTGAGGCCAGGGTCACCGATGAAAAAACGAACCAGCCGCAGTTCGGTTGGTTTGTTTTGTATTTGCTTCCATGTCACTCACCGAAGGTCTTATGCTTTCTGCTCATTCACCGAAACAGTTTACGAGCATGGGGATTCAGTGCAAAAATTTGATCACAAAGACCCGTGAAGCGTGATCTTGTGTATCCACATTGTGCAAAGTGAAGCACGGCGGTGAAGCACCCGTGTTGTTCCTATTGTTTTGTTTAGTGTGAAGAAACTGGAAATCACCGAAACCGTTCCTGTGCTGATGGTCCGATATGAGGGCTTGTAAATCACTCTGTCTGGTGGATTTAGGCAATGTCAGCAGGTGTGTGTGAGTGTGAGTCGTATCTTAAATAATAATAGTAATAATAATAATAAGAATCGCTGCCTAACTGCCTTGCCACACGAGGGCTCGAACACTGCCAGGTCGCTCAAGCCTAGACAGGTAGAGGACGGGTTCGAACCACGGACCTTCCGGTCAGTAAATTCGCGCTCTTACCACTTGGTCCATCTCGCCCCAGTCATCCTCTTAGGTCATTTGTGGACGAGTGTTCGGCTCTCTGCTTTCTGGGTGGCTACAGTGCTTGATAAACGGTGTGACGAGATCAGTCGAAGTGCATACATGATTCGCTTCCATCCCTGCGGTTAACAAGTAACAATCAAATAGACAAAATCGTCACTTTTGGAATTGCTGCTTCACTGTGAGGAGAAATGATGAACCGAGAAGAGCTCTGGTCAGTCTGAACTGTCCAAACAGTCCCTGAAGTTGAATGCAAAACTGAGAGCACGAACGCTATCGGCATTGGTTAGCAGCCCTATTCAGCTGAGCGCGTGAATGCTGGGGAGAACCCCGTCATGGGATTCAGACCGCATTGGTATCTGCGGTATACCGTTTCCACATATTCTATAATTCCTTAGTTGGTTTATTTGGGCACATGAGAACAGTACACTGTGGCTGCGCGCGTTGAACAGAGTAGCTCACGGGGGCAGTTGAAATTTAGCAATCGGCTTGTTGTTTATACGCTTGTGGTAACTGGCTCATGCTACTGATCCTTTAGTCCAGTGACATACTATAGACCTCTTGTTCATTGAGGTTGACTGATCAGGTAAAACCTGGTTAAAAACTGTCCCAGCTTACTGACTTTCATGAGACTGGGTAAACTGTCTTGCCACCTGAAACTCGCTCTCTGACCATTTCCTTTCGGCTTTTTTGGATTGCAGATCCACTATCCCTTTGAAAACGCCAAAGAATTTGCGGAACGCTTCCCAGCCGACTTCATCGCCGAGGGCATTGATCAAACTCGTGGTTGGTTCTATACCTTACTGGTCTTGTCTACGGCTCTGTTCGACAAACCGCCGTTCAAACACCTCATTGTTAATGGTATTGTTTTAGCATCGTAAGTACTGTGCTTTCTTATTCATACGGATGAAAAGGAAGGGGGCGCAATTTTCAGTCGTGTATGCATATAACACCGATAAAAAAATCGTTCAGCTGTAGCACCCTTTCGGTGCATAGCTGCCATGCCACCCGAAGGTTGCACGAGGCTGGGATACTGCCAGATTGCTCAAGCCTAGACAGCAGAAGTCGAGAGGCAGATACAATTTAGCGTCCTCCCACTTCATCAGTTCCATCGGGAAGACTTGCTTCTCGAATTTGAGTGTTTGGGAAGATATCACGAGCCAACCGGCTTGTTTGTTTAAAACCCAACCGGTGAATTTTTAAAACAGTCCGGGTATTCACCGTTGAGTATGGCCCATCAGATCTGTAAACAGAAACCCCCTTAGGGTCGAGAACGCTCCCGTCATTCTCAATATGTAACATCCTACCGCTGCGTTTCATTCATTTGGTGTTTTTTTTCAACAGCAATTTTGAATAATCACTTTTCGACTGAGTCGCTCTCTTTAACACAGGATACGAATTCTTTAACCTCAGTTCCGAAGTGTCCGTGATATTTCTCTACTGGTCAGTATGAACAGCAGAAATGAGCAACCGAACGGTTCCTATGTGGAAACAGTTCTTCGATATCTGTATTTCAAGTTGTTGATAAATCGCCGTCTGGATTAATGACCGATTCGGACCAGTATTGCATCATTTTCTGCATCTTCCAGATCTTGGTATCAATGATGTTTCGCTGCGACACATCCATAATTTAGTTGAAAGGTTTCTTGTGTAGAAAAAGAGTAAAACTGAATAGATAGTGGATCTAGCGCTGGCCCATTACAATCATTCCGAGGTGCCCACACCTCCCAGACAATCATTCAGACACTCGGGATAGAAACTGACAACAAGAACGCCATCGACATCGATTAGCACTCATATCTTGCGGCCTCCGCAAACAGTATCTAGTGTCCTACATCACTTCAACGGGATCTATGGTATGGTTCAGTTCAAGTGGGAATGACGTTTCACATAGAAAGAAAAGAAAGAAAGCGTTCAGCTGTAGCACCCTTCAGGTGCCTAGCTGCCATGCCACCCGAAGGAAGCACGAGGGCTGGGATACTGCCAGGTTGCCCAAGCCTATACAGCAGAAGTCGAGTGGCGGAGGTCGGATTCGAACCACGAACCTTCCGGTCGGTAAATTCGTGCTCTAATCACTTGGGCCATCTCTCGTTTCACATAGCTCAGTCTATTTTAATAACCCATCCTTACGTTGGCTCATGACCAGCTGATGTCCGGCCACCTCATTCTCTGTGCTACTGGACATTCGTCCTCCTACCCGGTAGTCACAAAAAGTTGAGTCCTGTTCGTTCAAACCAGGAGTGTGTTATACTTTCCAATTAGGGAATCTTGGAAATCCGATGTTAGCCAAATGCAATGCAACTCGGATACTGCGCCTACCTAATGGACCCCAAGGGAGCGAGATGGTTAGTGCGCCAATTTACTAACCGGAAGGTCCGTGATTCGACCCCGAACTCTGCCTCTCGACTTTCCCTGTCTAGGCTTGGGCAGCGTGGTAGTCTTCCAGCCCTCATGCCTCTATGGTGTGGCATGGCAGCTAGGCACCGGAAGGCACACATAAAATGGGCACCAAGAAGTGGTGTGAAACCAGTCGTGGGCCGTCGACTTTATGACTAGTGTGTTACGTCTAGAGAATTCATGTTTTCGTGGATATCGTATTTCAGACTGTAGGTTTTCCTCCATTCGATTATCGGTGCCCTTTTTCGCCTTTCGCCCGCAGATTGTTGAACAACTTGTCACTGTCCTTTGGACGGTTAGGTTCAGCGTTTTTAGATACTGCTGGTTTCCACCATTGAGTCGCTTTTTATTGGAACCTTATTCGCCTTGGACTGCTGCTCATGCCCCCTTCTTAGCAGTAGGGATTGAGTGAGGACCGCAGTATATGATCTCCTGGTCACTCTCCGTTCGATGCCATCTTGTTTGTGCTTTATGAGACAGCGGATGCTATCTTTGGCATAAAATCCTTCAGAAAGTATTACCTGATTTGTTTGTTTCTCCAAAGAAGCATTTTTTCAGTGGCAAAGTACTTTTCTCGAGAAACTAACTGACCAGCATGAAAACACGCCGGAGGCATGTAATACTGATGATAACGCACAACGTGCTTGTTTCAGGATGGTTCATCCACTCACGTAATCTGTGCAACGCATGCACACCCACTATTTCAATTAAGTCCAGTACAGTTTACAAACCCATAGGATAGTAGTTCGCGATTCGGTCTAGCAACCCCGCCGATTCAGCGGGTAAATCATAGAAGCGTCCTGGCATAATAATTTCGGATCCAATTTGGATCCAATTTCATTATAGGCTTCCAAGACAGAGACAATGTTGTTTGCAGATGATGGGTTATTTGACTCAATAGCATCTGCCCAACGAGATATGTCATTGTGTATCTTTTCCACCTCGCGGAGAACTACAGCGAGAATAGATCCAGACATTGCCCTTAGTCAACTTAATTGAAATTTCATCGGAGTAGCGCACGCTCCGTACGAAACCGAAATTATTATGCCAGGACGCTTCTATGATTTACCTGCTGAATCGGCGGGGTTGCTAGACCGAATCGCGAACTAATATCTTATGGGTTTGTAAACACAGTGAGTGGTTTTACTGCTATCAACGTGAAATTATCCATTTCTAGCTTACTTCTCAGAGAGGGCACAAAGCTCACGCCTCCATTCCGGGAATACAACATGCTATCGACTGGCGTAGTGAGGAGGTACACCGGAGTAGCGCACGCTCCGTACGAAACCGAAATTATTATGCCAGGACGCTTCTATGATTTACCTGCTGAATCGGCGGGGTTGCTAGACCGAATCGCGAACTAATATCCTATGGGTTTGTAAACACAGTGAGTGGTTTTACTGCTATCAACGTGAAATTATCCATTTCTAGCTTACTTCTCAGAGAGGGCACAAAGCTCACGCCTCCATTCCGGGAATACAACATGCTATCGACTGGCGTAGTGAGGAGGTACACCGGAGTAGCGCACGCTCCGTACGAAACCGAAATTATTATGCCAGGACGCTTCTATGATTTACCCGCTGAATCGAAGATTATTACCATGAATTCACGTGTACAGCGCATGTTTAATACTCATTATGCTAGACAAGGATATTCAATAATTACTGATGACTACTCTATGTGTTTTGAGCAAGCTTACGCGAAGGTTCTTAGGATAGCCAAGCCTGCTACAGCGACAGTACGCCCTGATTTGCTTCGCGGGCAGATATTTCTGCTTTGTTGCAGTACTGCTGGGATAATTGATGCACATACTCCGCCCAACTCCACTACATTACCTCCGATTCCGAATGAAAACGATGAGCAGTTCAGACGTTGACCTTGGGGGTACGTACGATACGTGTAGCGGCGCGTTATGCCCTGGGTTTGGTCGCCCATGAGCGGCGCGTTGTCAAGCATACTCCGTATGGCCTATGGGCTCTGTGCATTTCTTATCGCCTGGTCGTTCCCTCCCGGGCTGCATTTCATTATCAGAGCATACTTAAACGCTAATAGTAGTGCTTGGGTGACCCACGCCCCTTGGATCATAAACTGTACTGGACTTAATTGAAATAGTGGGTGTGCATGCGTTGCACAGATTACGTGAGTGGATGAAGGTAAACATTGATGAGATAGTAACCGGACTGTGAAATCGGTTGAAGATAAACTTGATGCGATAGTAACGAACACTGCGTTTGATGTGAGTTGCGCTTCAAAACGTCGGTAGTCAAAAGATGCGGACGCCTTGACTCTACTAGTGCCTTTTCTCATGTGTAGGCAACGTGTTAGTAACTCCACTTCATGCTTCCTACCGTTTGCTTGGGGAACATTTATCGTCAGGAAGTCCTATCCCACCCAGACGTTGGAGGTTGTCAGCACGCCAAAGTCAGATGATGGGTTCCGTCTCCCGTCCTGACATTTCGGCTGCTTTTGTCAGGACTTGATGAGCCTCACATTATTCCGGTTTTCGGGTATGCGAAGGAAAAACATTCCAACTGACCTTCTTTTGTTCAAGGCATATCTTTGCTGTCTCGGATACGAAGAGTGGCGGAAAGCAACTGTCACACGGTTGACCACTGATGTGATTAACCCACTTGAGTTTAACTCACACTACTGGTTCATTCCCCCGTATCCTTTCTCTTTGTCCTGTTCTATTTAAGTGATGGCCAGAAGATGAGCAAGCGTTTGAAAAACTATCCAGATCCTCTAGATGTCATTCAACGACACGGTGCGGATGCTTTGCGGCTCTACTTGATCAACTCTCCTGTGGTCCGTGCACAAAATCTCCGTTTCTTCGAATCCGGAGTGCATGACGTTGTCAAAGATGTGTTCTTACCTTGGTACAATGCCTTCCGTTTCCTGATCGAAGTGAGTTTGCGTTTTCAAAATCACGTCCATATTGTTCAGTGAGCTTGATTTTTCTTTTGGCCTACTTTTGTGCGTCAGGTCCGCACAATACCGTGTTCATCAAAACCCGCATTTTCGTCTTTCTCGGTGGAGCTTTCTTGTCCAATTGATATGTGGTATCCAGGTGCAAGTGTACCTGATGTCATTCCTTAAAACCAGGAAGTCCCGACCTAAGTCTAAGATCTAGTCTTGCTTGGGGGGCTTCATTGCTGCAATGATCATCCTGCGGACTAGACTGGCTCCTGGAATTAAGTTTCTCACCAGGAGGGCCAACCAGGAACTGCCCGACGAAGAGGTGCGAGTTCCTCTACAATGGGGAATCGTATTACGACGCTGTTTGGAGGCCGTGACGCTACCTTCCCCGAGGAACGACGGGTAGAAAAGGTCGGTCCTAAAAACCGCTAATTTCGATCACCGAGCGGTTCTGATTCATCTAATTGTCCATCGTCTAGCCGTTGTTATGTATCCACACGTCTGCCCAGTAATACAAATAAAAATGAATCCTTATTAAATCCAGACGATCTGTTCCGCATTGCTATCTTCACCGTCTGCACTGTTTTAACCTGGGCAACAGATAGTTCTTGTTCAGACCTTGTCCTCTCTTTCGATCGGTGCATGTTGTGTCTCTGCAACACGCACCCAAGACCTCAATTCGTTCATACATCTCAAGTCGTTTCGGGGCCAACCCAGGTTTCTCCCTTTTCGCTCTTCTGGATTCTGTTGGTCCTGCGTCTATGGCCAATGACATCTGTGGCGACTCACGTCTGGCGCCAACGCTGAATTCACTTCACTGGACTGTGTTCCAGTAAACAGTTGTTTCTGTGTCCTTAGGCTGACTGGTTCAATCTCCATGTGGTAAGCGATTTTTATTTTTCCTGTTAGCTCTGAGGCTGAGAAAGACAATATCGAGGTTTGTACTCCGGTCAGCGAGAAGCACATTTATGGTGATTCTGGCAACGCTCAAGAGGGCTGACCAAGTCCTGAGAAATACCATCTTGGCGGTCGATTCAGGTTTGACGCTCACCGCACAGCTAATGGAGAGCGACATCTTCATCAACATCATTTGTTTCTACCAGCGCGAAATTTCAACTGAAGCGCTCACACTATATGACTTGGGAGCGACGCTCTCAGTGGACGTGATAAACGGAAATGAAGGATATCACGAAGAGTTTGAGTATTGTTGGTGCTTCTCGGCTTCCAGAAGGCGGTCCATGCTCGGTTTAAAACACTGAATGATGTGAGGGCTAACAAATGTCAGTGGCGTTTGTGCCGTCAGTTTCTATCCAGGTTGTCTGATTGAGTACGGAGGTGTAAGCACCGCGAATTTTTGTTGTGGGCTAGCCCTAGGTCTGTAGGTGCTATTGTCTTTTTTACTCGAAGTAATATCAGAAGGTGAAATAGCACTAACAATAAACAGTTATGTATAGTGACTACCAGAGACACAAATTACAACTGAATAATGGACAAAAGAAGTATGAGACTTATCGAGTTCTTCGTTTGATAAGTTGTAGCCGATGCAGCCAATGTTTGTGGGACGCCGTTGAATTGAATGGGGTCTTGACCGAGTGTGTTGAAATCTGGCCTGTTCTTTGTCGTTTAATCCAAAACGATTTCGAGCCCAGACTTTTCCTGCACAGTGAGTCGTGCGTCGGCTTGAAATGGTCTGGTCAAGGCGCTGTGTGAACAGACAAGCGTCGGGCTGTGGGATCGTTGTTCCGCGTATATATATATATATATATATATGTTTATGTTGTGAATGAGGATGCGCTTGCATTGTTTGTCTTAGGATAAGATTCCAACACTCTTGCTTAGTCCTGGGGTGCATGTTCGTCATAATGCGGACAGGAATGAAACAGCGGGTGTGCATGCGTTGAACAGATTATATGAGTGGATGAAGGTAAACATTAATGAGATAGTAATCGGACTGTGAAAGCGGTTGAAGATAAACGTTGATGGGGTGGTAACCAAACTCTGGTAAAGTGGTCAAAGATAAACGTTGAGGGGATGGTAACCAACAGGCCACAAACGGCAAACTCGCCGGGGACTCATTTGAATCACGTGGCAGTCAGCTAGCAGTGGATGCAAGATTGTCCTCCTCAACTCACTCACAAAATCTTCTTGAACAATGGACTGAACACTGAATAGTTCAGCTGGGCCTCATCAATTCACCCTCTGGAAGGATTAATTGAGCCAGTTAGTCGACAGAAATCCGGCGTTCATCCTGCATCCCTCCGCGCAACAAAACGGCCGCACTCTTCAAAGAAGGCGGTGGATTCTTCGTGGCTATCCTACTCCAAGTTGTTTAGAATGAGGAGCGAATGCCAACAGAATGGAGCACCTCGACAATGTGTCCCATTTTTTAAAAAAAGGTGCAAGAATATCGTGCGAAAACCACCGGTGCATCAGTGTGGTGACTTTGGCTCCCAAGATGTTCACTGGCATTATTCTACACAGGTCGATTCGTCAGATGCGCGATAATCAAGCTAGATTTCACCCTGACCGGGGTTGTATCGATCGTACTTTTACATTGTTGAAAGTTTTGGAACTGCATCACTCCTTTTGACGATCAATAATGATAGGATTTCCCGGTTCCAGGTCTAATTTTGACTCTGTTGATCGTCAGAAACTGTGACAGTGTATACCAATGCGGTGTGTCCCTTCGAATTTCTTGTCTCTCACAAAGGACTTTATACGACTCCTCCAGTAGGGTCAAATCCTTCCCTAAGTTCACCACATCCGGTGGTGTTAGGCAAGGATGTCCTCTATCGCTTTTCAACTTCGTAATATCGATGTGCTGCTTGTGTCCCATCTACCTGTAACACCTCGAGGATCGAACTATTCCCAGGGCGCTCCCTCACGTACAATATAACTACGCCGACGACCATACCTCTTAATAAGCCAATTAGTTCTTCTGCAAATTTCGGTTTTGGTATGCACTTTGCAAGTGTGAATGGAAATTCTGGCTGCAAGGTTAGGTAGGGACAAAAGTAAATCTCATGCTTTCAGGCGAACCAGTTGGGTTGAGATGGTTAGAACACTAATTTACTGATCGGAAGGTCAGTGGTTCGAACCCTACCTCTGCCACTCGACTTGTTCTATCTAGGCCTGGACAGCCTGGCAGTATCCCAGCCCTCGTGTTTCCTTCGGGTGGTATGGCAGCGAGGCACCGGAAGGATGTCACAGCTGAACGACTATGTTTATTATTATTAGATGGACCGATGGTTGTGGTGGATAAGTTTGTCTATCTGGACAGGTGTAGAAGTCTCGGCGGACTGGCAAAAGACGAAATAACTTCCCGAATCGAGAGGGACAGAAAATGCTTGCTAACCTCTGACATTTGTGGCACCGGCGTGGCATCAGTTTGACTGTCTGTGGGTAGAGTCGAACCAGAGACGTGGCCGCTGCGTGTGGCAGCCCTTTGCGTCTGACGATCGGTGTCTCCGAGACATCATCTGGATTTGATGTCAGCATCGGGTACGTACTGCTGAAGTGCTCCAGGTTGTTTTCAAGTAAGTTCATTCATAAGACTGGTTAGGCCACGTACTTTGTTTGCTTAAGGATCGTTTGCCCCGTAGGGTGGCCATCTTCGCCAACCTTTGTATCCGAGGGAGACGACTCCAAGTCAGTCAGTCAGTCATGACTTGACAATGGACCATTGCTTTCTTTCCGTTATTCTCCTTATTCTCGATGAATGAAGCTGTAGCAGCTGTAACCATTGAATCAAACTAAACTAAACCAAGATATACACTCGAAAACCAGCACATATTGCAGGAATATTGTAAGCTAACGAACTATACCACAGTTAACAATGCTTGAATGCTTTCATCGTGCTTGAATAGGGGGAACTTCAAAGCACATTACTGATCGTTGCGTAAATAGTTGCTAGGCCATCTTAACGGAGACTCTCAGCGTGATTCGGTAGGAGTTCGAGAAGTCATCAACCAGTTCAGAGTGTTCACTTTCAGCATTCATATCAGAATTCGAGTGCGCAACCGCAGTAAGCCTTTTCCGTAGTGCGCCACCGTGTGGTTGCCGACCCAGCACTTGAGACCAGATTGCAGGTATCCAACAAACGTTTACTCGGGTGTACGGAGACTGTTGTCATTCCAAAATTGGTGTAAACATGGAGGCTTTT